TCTCCGCCATTCCTCTGGTTTTCGCTCCTCTGCCGATCCTTACACCTTTGCACCGTTTATCCACGGGTTCACCATGCATATTTGAGGTATTTTTGATTCCGTTCTCGGCGATCCATTTGAGTCCAGAAATAGTATGTGGACCTCATATTGTGCCTCCTTCTCTCTAGATTTTTTGAAATATTTATAGGTTTTTTGTCAAGAAGCGGGTAGATTTTTCCTTCTTAGGTCTTGGGTACTACCATGTTTATAAAATTAAAAAAGTTACTAACAGATCAATTTCGCATTATGATTTGATTTCATTACCTGTATGCTTGTTGGCATGTGGTCTATTTTGGAGTAGTTAGGGAAAAAGGTCTCCTTTTTATGAAAAACAAAAAAAATCACCCAGATGCATTACTTCATTAGCCATTCTTTGTCCAGAAGGAAAATTCACAGGCCGATCTGTTGCTCGCTAAAAGATCAGGTTAACATTGCAAAATAAAAACGCAGCTCCCAGTATCTGGCAGTAAATAAGGATCTTCTTCCTACATCATTACAAATGGATCGAGGAAAGAAAAACAGTCTTATCTCGCGCCTCGTTCTTCACAGAATATCTCAAGCTTCGAATGATGAGAGCGTGTACTTATGCGTCAGCAGTCGATGCAGTTTACTTGATGACAGTCTTTCTAGGTGATTTGGATATCTTCAGTAGCTTTACATATCCACTTTCTAGTTACAGCCTATAGCTAATAGTTGGCTCCTCGACGCGAAGCTGCTTAAAACAGATGACATTGTTCGCTAGATATGCGTATTCCCTGCAGAATGTTCGTGTACAAGTTACTTTTTTCGTCCATATTCCTTTAACGAAAAACGCTATATTACCAACGTAATATATAGACAACGTTATATAGTTTTCTCGCTATAAGATCAGGTTAACATTGCAAAATAAAAAACACAGCTGGCAGCGCTATATAGACAACGCTATATAGACAACGTTATGAAAACAAAACATAAACAAAAAAAAGAATA